TTGTAATAGCCAGAAGCTGGAAACAACCCAGATGCCCCTCAACTGAAGAATGGATGCAGAAACTGTGCTACATCTATACAATGGAGTTTTACTCAGCAATGAAAAATAAGGAAATCATGAAATTTGCAGGTAAATGGTGGGACCTGGAAAGGATCATCCTGAGTGAGTTGTCCCAGAAGCAAAAAGACACGCATGGTATATACTCACTCATATAAACATACAACATAGAATAAACCCACTAAAATCTGTACATCTAAACAAACTAAGCAAAAGAGAGGACCCTAACTAAAAGGATCAATCCCCATCCTGAAAGGCAAAGAGGATGGACATCAGAAGAAAAAGAAAATAGGAAACAACCTCGGAACCTGCTACAGAGGGGCTCTGAAAGCCAGAAGAAAATAGGAAACAACCTTGAAACCTGCCACAGAGGGCCTCTGAAAGCTTCTGCAGTATAGACTGTCAAAGCACATAATGAGCCTGATGGCCAACTGATGGGCAGAGTGAATGGAATTTTATATAAGAAGTGGGAAATAGTAAGAGCTGGAGGGGACGGGAACTCCACAAGGAGAGCAACAGAACAAGATAATTTGAACACAGGGAACTTCCCAGAGACTCATACTCCAACCAAGGACTATTCGTGGAGATAACCTAGAACTCCTGCACAGATGTAGCCCATGGCAGGTCAGTGTCCAAGTGGGTTACATAGCAATGGGAAGAGGGACTGCCTCTGACATAATCTGATTGGCCTGCTCGTTGATCACCTCCCCCTGAGGGGGGAGCAGCCTTACCAGGTCATGGTAGAGGACAATGCAGCCACTTTTGATGAGAACTGATAGACTAAGATCAGAAAGGAGAGGAGAACCTCCCCTATCAGTGGACTTGGGGAGTGGCATGCATGCAGAAAGGGGAGGGAGGGTGGGATCGGGAGGGGAGGAGGGAGGGGCTTATGGGGGGGATACAAAATGAATAAAGTGTAATTAATAAAAAATTAAAAAGATATGCATACAAATAAAATAAAATAAAAATGATTTTATTGCTTTTATTGTAATAGTGATGCTAATTCAAACACATCATGAAAGCTCACAGGCTGGAGACGGCTCAGTGGTTAAGAGTGCTTGTAGCTCTTCCACGAGATGCAGGTTTGGTTCCCAGCACCCACAGGTACACAGTCCTCGGGGATCTGACCTATAAGGATCTGGCCTCTGTGGATACCAGACAGTTATGTGATGCACGATAGATCATCAGGCAAAACACCCATGCACATAAAATTAAAAAAAATATTCGTTATAAACCCACTTTTCAGAGATATCTGGAAGTCAAACTCTGATCTGTGATTCTGTAATTGCACTCTTTTCTTGATAGACATTTTAATTTATATGTACAAATTTTGTAACCTGGTTTTCATGGCAACACACCCTGTGAATGTCTTCAATATGCTTACATAGCATTCTCTGACAGGATTTCAGTTACTTCTTATGGTGAGAGATATGAGGAGGAGACAGAGAATGCTGGTGTCATTTAGCATTATCAATGCAGGTGCCTGGCCCAGAACAGATGCTCAATACTATGGCCAAGCACTTCATGACTAACGCAAAGCATGACTCTTTAGTCATCATATTGGGGTGGATTCTAGAATTGGGTTGAAGACCAAGCAGGCCTCCTAAGCGACTGAATAGTGATGGACACTATAAAATTATCACCCAAAGTATTTTATCATGCTGTAGTGCACACATGAACGTCCTCAGTAGATTTCAGGCTGCTTTTTCCCCTCACATGTTCTCTACACCATGACTTTAGTACCCACAGAAATCCACAGTTAGCTCAGGGGCACAGGCCCTGGCTTTCCTAATCATCTCTATTCTTGGTCCTTAGATTGAGAGAGCTCAGCTCATCAAGCTGAAAGTATGGTGAAGCAGGTTTCACAATTAGTGTCTTTGCTTTTTATGCACCATTGTTGACCGTTTCTTCAGACAGATGTATTTGGTTCCAGAAAATTGAGCCTCATGCTGACTCCGCCTCTCTATAATTATCTACAGACGTCCCTGTATCTGCATCTGGATGTATAGAGGCCCCAGTGTAATTAGAATGTAAAATCCTTAGATTTGCTCCATCATTCAGACAGGCAGAAGAGTGGAGCGGGGATCTCCACCTGGGCATTTGGCTGTTTCATTCATTTTCAGAGATCCCAAGGGCAGGCATGAGAGCGAACAGCTGAGGCTCTCAGGGAAGACAGACCGTGGCTTGAACCTTGCACACCAGTTGTCAGGTAGCTTGCTGTTGGACTGGCTATCCAATCTCAGCTTTGTCTTCCCACAGCTATGACCAGGAAGGCCTTTTCTCAGAAAGAGTCCCTTAACGGTTGGGGAAACTGGGCTGTGAGCAAGTGCGGAGGCAGAGAAGAAAGCTGAGAAGCTGCAGGGCCCTTGTGCTGGTGGAGGACTGAAGGGCACTGAGGGAGATGAGTTAGAGAAGCCCAAGGAGGTATCTAGGTGTTCAGATGACGGACTGCCTCCACCCCCAGCGAGCTCAGACTCCATAAGCTGAGAGGAATGGCGCCAGCTTGTGCTCCAAAGTCCATTCAGAGGCAGACACTTCTGATAGCAAGACGGTGATATAGAGGAAAAGCCTCCAGAAGAGAGGGTGAAGAAGAGCACCACAGTGCACCAGCCTCCTCCCTCAGGCAAGGGTGCCTGATAGCTGGAGGCTCAGTGAGGGGAGAGGACTCTCCTGGAAACGTCTACGACCCAGAGAGCTAAATGCTGGGCATTGAAATGGGGTTGAGGTGATGGAAAATTAAAGGGGCGTTTCCTTTCCAATAGATCGAAGGGCTGTCTTTGGATGTCTCTTTCCTTTTTTATTTTTTTAAGACTAGAGTAGTACATGAACACATAGATGAGAAAGAGGTAATTTGGGTTTTACGTACAGAAGTCAAGACATTTGCTAATTTTGTAGTTTTATGTAATTAGTTTACAAAAGTTACAGATAATGAAGAAGTATAAAACATACAAAAGAATTGTAAGGGTTAAGTGAAGTAATAGAACATAAAATTAATGAGAATGTTTGTTAGAGAACCCAGAACACAATGCCTGTTGAATATCACCTATTATTATTGTGTGTGTGTGATACAGCCAGAGGAAAAAAAGCCAAATAAATGAGTGCTAATAAATAAATAATTTTAACAGCTTTGATGGAGGTAAGTAAAAAGAGCTGTTTACTTTACACATTAAATAACAGAACCCAAGCTGAATTGTATTTCACCTATTGTTGCATTTCCATCTTTCCTTTAATTAATAAACTTTTTTTTCCCCCAGACAAGTTTTAGCTATAAAGCTCAGGCTGGCCTTGAACTCATGATCCTCCTGCTTTAGTGAAGTATGGAGATTGTAGAAATGTGCTACTACACTTGGCTTTTAGCTGCACTGTAATTTTAATTTGTTACTATCGTGACAAATAAGGACATATGCTTTATGCACATGTCACGTACATATCAACTGCCACTTCTAAAATTCAGTCTGTGATTTGGGGCGGGTCTGAAGTATGATTAAAAGGCTTTTCCCTTTTATCATGCAAATGGATTAAAACTATAAGAATAAATATTTTAAAATGGATAATTGCGCTATTTACAATTCTTTCAAGGTATTTTTAATCCTTTAAAACACAATGCGAGGACAGTTGCTAGGGGTAACATAACTCATGTCTTCTGCTTATACAATGGGATCCACTTGTTTATGTGAAAATTGGAAACTACCAACCACTTGGTTATTTGGGCATAAGTGGAAGAGAAACCCACTTAAAACGAAACTTTTATGTAACTGAAACAGTTTAAACAAACTCTGTAGCTCAGTTCATGCAATGGAAACAGCTAACAGGCCAATGGCACCAACTGTAAGTGAAAAGTGGGCATGTGTAAATTGAAAGGGCTTAAAAGATTTTAATAGCCAGAACATGAAAAAGATTTTTTATTTTTTGGTCTCATAACCCATGGAAGGCAAAAAGCTCACAAGGAGAAATAGGCAAAATGTCATTAACCAAATCCCAAGTCCTTACCTGTAAAGTGAGAAGGTTGGCTGTACTGGTTTCCATCTCTGAAAGCCTTTTATTTCATTCAATACCATCTAGGCACACACACACACACACACACACACACACGCACGCACGCACGCACGCACGCACACACGCACACATGCCTCATTTTTTTGTTCTTTATGACTGCTCTACAAGTTATAAGTATTGGTATAGCAAAGGCCATGAAAAATAACCTTTTGCTGGCATTCTTTAAAATGATTTTGTTCTGCTCTCAGCCTTATTTATAAAGGTTTCCAGATGCTGCTCCTCACAGATGAAGCCCAGCATGATGCAGACACTTACAAAGGTACCCACCACTCTGAGGCCCAGGAAAAAGCTACTTTGAGATCTAGCTGCATCTCACCTAGGGGATCAGGTCCAGGCAGTCTTCTGTTGCTATTAAAGTGGGGTGGCTCTCTGAAGCCATTTAGAAAACAACCAAAGCTCTGAGCAGCAACAATCAACCCTGTGCTGTGGAAGCACATCAGATGGCTGGCATTCCGTGCCGAACAAGCGCCATTGCTCATTATGCGACTCATAATGAAAGGATGTGGGCAAAGAGCAGAGTGTAAATGGGAAGCTGATTTCAGAGTGTGCTAGGCAGCAGTACTGGGCTGAAACACTCTTTCTCACTCCAACAGACAACTCCAAAGTAGTTCTCAAGAGAAAGGACGAGGTATTTTTCAAATATTTGTTCAATCTGAATGGGTAGGGGTTGCCAAAAATGACTTTTTATGCTGGCATGCGATCTCTTGGAGGGAAGTCAGCCTGAGTCACTGGATACATCAAAGGTAGAGAGTCCAGTGAATGGAATTACTGCAGGCTGTGTGAGCAAGCCAGATACCTGCGTTCATCTGCCCACTGCTGGGATTTCAGCCTCCTTTTAATTACATTAAAGCAGCTGGTACCACTGGTTACTGGAGTCTTCAGATTACCTTGATTGCTTGCTCATTATCTCTAATCAGCTGCTGCTTCTCATCTTCAAACTTTTGTATAACATCCTGGAGCCGCCTTTCTGCAGCAAGCTGCTGCCGACTGCTCTCCTCTTTCAGAGAGGAAATGGTTGTCTGAAGTTCTGCTATGATCTAAAATGAAAACAGCATGCTGTAACTTCAAATTCTCCAGCAAGAGGCATCTATTTTATATGTATTTATGCTTAACAAAAGAATGAATTTGGCAAAACTCTATTCCACAAACTGAATATTTTCAATTAACATATCACTCAGGATAATGCACAAAATTCCACACAATAAAAGACTGCAATAAAACTGTGAATGGTGAACAACTGCTGAACAAATATATTTGGAAGACATTTCCACTCCAACATTCCACAATATTTACTCATCAGAAGAAAGAACATCTGTGATCTCAAAAAAAAAAAAAAAAAAAAAAAAAAAAAAAAAAAAAAAAAAAAAAAAGAAAAGAAAAGAAAGAAAAGCATCAGATTGTATTTTACTGAGAAATAAACTTTTTAAGAGTGAGAAAGGCTGGTCTGATCTTCCTAAGACTTTGTACTCTATCACCTGCCACTCCTTCTGCACCCCCTCACCACCCAGCACCTACTCCCACCGCCCACCACCTCCTACCCATCATCACCACTATGACTACCATAACCCACTACCATCTCCTACCCTCCACCGCCACCAGGCTCCCAGCAAGCCAAGTGAGCTCGTTCTTCCTGGTCACCTAATTGTACACAGTAAGTTTTGGGTACTAACTAATGTTTATGTACTGGGTTGAGACTTGAAGTTTTTTATATTATTTGCTACTGTGGGTTAAGTTCAGTTTATTGCCTCTCTTTTCAAAACGAGGAAACAGACACAAAGAGAGGCCAAATATTTTACATTGTTGAAGATGATTTCCAGCTCTGGATATGGGTATGAATTGAAGCCCACAGTCAGCTTCATCCTCCAATGAGCCAATTCCATTTTTGTTTTTAACAAAATTTTTGCAAATCAAAAATTCATACTTCCAAATAGGTTGTCTCCTTGCTAACTGCACACACTCATGAAAGTTTATTCTGGCTCAAATAGTGCCCTTTCACAGACAGACTCAAGGAGCTTTCTCCACGCTTATGCGTTAGTTCCCTCCAGACAGGGTTCCCGCCAGCTTCTCAAATTAACATCTCACGAGGACGCATTGGGCTCACTGAGAGATGCCCTTCCTTTGCTTTGGATGCAGCTACTTCCTGTCAATCTCAATAGCAAGGGTTTTTTTTGAAAGCAGGAAATAGTTGTTTCTCCTAATGAAAGAAACGGCATCAGTGCTCACAATACTGCTCTGTGAGAGGGAAGGTAGCTTGTGAGAAACATTGGGCTTGGTTAGCTTTTTTGATCTCAGTTTCCCACAAACCAGGAGCACAGCATCAAAAGACAGAGAACAGAAACCCCAGGGCGGTCCTTAAGAGCCAAGTGTTAGAGAAATATTAGTTGTCACAATGGACACGAATACAGCATTGCCATGGTAAATATGAAGTGTTCACACTTAGTGTACAAATGCGCTATAACAAAGTTTAAAATTTAATCAAATATTAAGATTATTTTGAAATGATAAAATTTCTAAGAGCACTATGAGAATATTAAATGGACCCTCTGCTGTGGGTGGAGCAATTCCCTTACTAAAAATAGAATAGTGTTCTCATCTATCTTGAGAATTTTTATTACATTTTGCTTCCATGCAATAATTGTTACATCCTTTCAATGACTTTTTGTAGCACCTCCACGAAGGAGTAGAGGTCAGACAGCAAATGTCAAAACTGAAGCACAGAAGAACCAGCTCCTGGAAGCTATAGGGCTGGAGGAGCTAGGGATCAGAAAGCCAGATTTCCCCAACCCACTGTGAAGTTGAAGATTGATATTCTATAGGAACACAAAGCCAAACAGTGAGCACAGCTTAATATTTCAGTGTCTCAAGCTGAGTAAGGCATAACTTCACAGAAGTGGGGTGTTTAACTCTGCAACGTGTGTTTAGTTCTCTGCAAGTTTATCATGTGTAAAGATATGGCTATCTACCACAATCATGTAATCTACTTTTCAAGTAGAAGACACTTACTTTCTTTTTAAAAATACCAGCATTGAGGAAATCAGTAGTGAGAGTAGAAGCAGGAGGATCAGGAGTTCAAGGCCAGTTTCAGTTACATGGTGAGTTTGATGCTAACTTGGGCTACATGAGAATTTTTTTTTTTTTTTTTTGAGATTAGCATAGCTAAGGCTGAAGAGAAAAATATTTTAGGGCTATTTCAAGTGATTTTAAGGACTCAAGACCAAGACATTGCTTATTTTAGAAAGATTCTGGACAATGCATACAAAAAGAAATGAGTGTAGTGTTTGGAAGGAACTATATATAAGTAATGATCCAAGGAAGGCACACTTGCTTTTACATTCTTTAGGGGGAGGGATAAGAAAGAGTTCTATAGGAGAAATGGGATAATATTTGAAAAGCTTTTTAAAAAAACGTATAAATGTCACATAAGGGAATGTCAAAATATTTGAGGTGAAACTTGGCTAGGTAAGTGGGTTGATTAGGCAGTATCACCTAAAAAAGGGCGGGAGAGATAGCTCAGAGGTTAAGAGCACCGACTGCTCTTACAAAGGTCCTGTGTTCAATTCCCAGCAACCACATGGTGGCTCACATTCATCTACAAGATGACCTGGGGCCCTCTTCTGGCATGAAGGTGTACATGCAGGCAGAACAATGTATAAAAGATATTTTTTTTCTTATAAAAAAAACTTAAGATCTTAAAAAAAGATTTAATATTCCAGAGTAAAAAGTAATCAGAATGCGAGGTTAATAAGGAACACAACATTTATGTCTATTCACTGTAGGCTTAAGAGTATGAGAAATCCAATTTTCACTTTAGGGGAGTGCATATGTCAGTAGCAACTCAATAAATTATAACAGTAGATTAAGTAGTAAACTACTTAATTTGATAGTATTGGTAAATAAGAAACAATCATCACCTGGAAAACTGAATTAATATAGTCTAGCTTTTCCATAAATAACAGTGAAAAGTTCTGAAGAAAAGGAATCTATTATAAACAATCATAATTGGGCATCTCCAGCTTGGATAGAATCATAATTAAAGAACATAAAGTGTCACTGAATGTTCACCCTATATTTACTTCACAGTAAGGCGTGGATTAGGACATTTTCATGTAGATGTGAGATACTAACACTCCAGCAAACACCAGAAGCTACTTTGGGAGGGTGCTATAAGCAGCCTGACGAAAGCAATAATGGTTGCTAATAAATGTTAATCAATGAAGCTTTACAGAGACATTAGGATCTTATTTAAAGTATTTATAGAAGTTAAAATAGGTTAAATTTTAACTTTTAAATCATTCTATTGTTTTTCCAGATTTTGGTACAGTTTGAAATTTTTCTAAAACTCTTCCTCCAAGTTCAACAGCCAACACAAACCATACCTAGAAAGGACAAGGAGCACTGGAGCTCCTCCCACAGTGCAGAAAGGCCGGGCCCCTTGCTGCCCTCTTTCTGGCCTGGCCCCTGAACACAGCTGGGGCATGCAGCATACTTCACAGGCATTAATCTGTACCATGATGGGAAAGCAAGCCAGGGTAGTGGCAAGGGTTGAGTGGTAGTGGGTGGGGTCAACTGGCAGCTGGTCTTCTTCAGCTGTGAATGTTCTTGCAAAATGGTACTACCTTGTTTTGGAAAATGAAGAGTAGGGAACTGAACTGAACTATGTTAGGACTGAGAAGGCAAGATTACTATCTAATGTTCAGATAAAAAAAAATGTGAATAAGAGGAAGGGCATGGCCAGAAATAATGCCTCCCTGGCTGCGATGGTGATGGCTGTGTGGCTCATAAGGGGCACAGCCTCCAAGTGTGCCCAGGGTTAAGTGCACATGGTCTACTAGGTCCACAGCTTGATGGTATCTCAAAAACCAAGTAACTTCCTTTACAGAAGGAAGAGATTTCAAATATTTTCCAAATTTAAACTCCACTCTCCTGAGTGCCAATGGGCCCATCACTAATGTATTCACCTTAGCACTGCTCTGGAAAGTGAGATTGTTAAACCCTGATAAGCACACTGAAGCAACTTGCTTCTGGCACTCTCACCAGCTTGCTGAGATATGTGTTAAGAGATTCCAGCAAACAAGCATCTAAAGGCAGAAACAGCTATGTTCTTGTTTTTTCTTTTTTAATGTTCATTTAAAAATAATCTGTTTCTCAGCAGCGACTGGCACTGTAGACTAAAGTTTTCAAGTGCCAGTTCCTGCCTATAAATACTCACTGTATCAGAGATGGGTACAGATGGGCACTACTATCAGTGTAAGGCTATCTTCCATTCGACAGCCCTTCAGTATGTATTTTTCTGATATCACATTCCTGAGTTTATGAAATGATTACAGGGCAAGACAGTTACTGGTTGTTTCCCACGTCCTTCTCCTTAACGTCTTGAAGAAAAGCACCAAGCTTGTACAGTTCCAAATTTTGTGTAGGGCTTTCATCAGTCCTTAAACACCCCAAAGTGTGGTCAATGATGAAAAAAAAGTCTCGTCTTTCCTCTAGACCTTGGCTCCCTTCTTCCTATCTCTACTGCCGTGTTCACACACCTGAGGTTGCTATTAAATGTTTTAGTACATACAAGGCACTGTGTGCTTAGGACGTCAGTTTATTTACTAGTTAAAACTGTCTTAAGAGATAAGTAATGATCTCTGCTTGACTAATGAGGAAACTAAACTCCAAAGGTGGCAGGTAAACTCGCTCAAGGTCACACAGGTGGCATGACTATCTGGTCTTCCAATCCAGGACTGTGCACTCCATGCTTGGGCTTTCATATATGCTCATATTTAGTTTGCTTTAATGTCACCCCAGCAGGCTCCTGCACACATTCCTGTAGCTGAACCTAAGGCTCCTGTTTACACTCTTGTTAGTTAAGCATTTTTATTAGCTGGCTTCCATCTTACTGTGTCCTCCATTTCAAATAAAGCAAAGTTAAGAACCATGCCAAGCTGCAGTTTTTCATGTTTCTGTTTAAACTTTAATTTGGGAGAGTTAAGATTTTTTTTTCAGCTGGTTATAAGCATCGTTTTCAGCAGATTAACAAGGACATTTCTTCCTGAAGGGGCTGGAATAATAGCAAGCAAGCCATAATCATCTCTCATATAAACACATATGACTATTCAGTTAAACAAAGACTTCTGGCTTTCTTAATGGTATGAGAGCTATATAACATGCTCATTTTAGAAATAATTACAGAATTGACATTTCCTGATAACTACATTCAAAGTTTTGCTGTATTAGGAAGGTGAAGCATTGGGCCAGGCTGGTACGTCAAAGGTCAAGATTGCCCCTTTGAAGTCAGATCCAGGCTGTGTCCTGGCTTAGTCACTCGCTAGCTCCTATGATCTCATCCCTCTGATCTCAGTTCTCTGCCCTCTACTGCTGAGCTACATTCCCAGCCCTTAACTCTCAGTTTGCTCAACTAGAAAGATGGAACCAATAAGGAAGACTGATTGAAGTCACTAGGTTTGTGCCCAGAAATGTTGGATATTATATTTTTTTCTGTTGCTCCTATTAAGAGGCAATTCATAAAATGTTACATGAATTTCAGTTTATGTGTCTTTGTACACAGGCAGTGAGACTAAAGCCAACTTACAGCCATTAGATGTGGAAACTGTAAAACTAAACGACTTAGTTAATCCACCTACAAAGTGAAGGTAGCAGTGCTCGCTTTGTCTAGAACTCACAGAACTCCTGAGGTTTGGGATTCCCTAACTGCAACTATTGGAAAATGGACCAACTCGTGCAGCAAAAGTTCTGCAAGCACCACCCCTCAAGCAGGGATGGCATTTAACTGCCCACTCCTTGCAGCAAAACTGCCAGAGTTAACAAACAAGTGACGGTGGCCGTGATTCTTTCCCACCCTTCAGAAGGAGCCAGAAGCTTATGATTTAACTTAGAATTGTCTGTCATTTTGCATTAGTCAACTAGCTCATGGGTGCAATGAGTTAGAATATTGAAAAAAAAAAAAAGAAAAAGTACAGATGTTATCAACCTGCTTACATCACAAATGTAGGTGAGTATCTCCTGCCCTGTGAAACATGTTTTGGCCTGGGCTTATTCAAGTGTGCTAGCTGGTTTTACAACATCTTTCTCTCTCCTCTCCTCTCTCTCTCTCCCTCTCCTCTCTCTCTCTCTCTCTCCTCTCTCTCTCTCTCTCTCTCTCTGTGTGTGTGTGTGTATGGTGTTGGTTCAAATGGCTCAATATGCACAATTATTCCTAATTTTAATAAGATTGAAATATTAAAAATATTTTATTTATCTACCCATAAAATATGATACTAATCCATGAAAAACTGACAAGAATTTGATTTAACTCTGAAGTACAAAGGCTTTGCTGTATTGGTTTCATTTCTGCTTTTTGTTTGGGGTTTACTGTGTTATTTTGTGTCTTGGGCCCATGCTTACCTGGGAAGATTTGGCAAGCTTCTGAATGTATTCCTTCTCGATCTGCTTCAGCCTGCTGTTGGCCTGCAAAACACACGTACACGAACACACACACAGTGACCTGTGAGCTTGGTATCTCTTCCACATGCCTATCACTAGGCAGCTGGGATGCCTGCCAGCTGCACCGCCCTTCTGGGCAGCCAGAAAACCACAGGGCTTGTCTTTGATCTGACGCCAGCTATTCATCACTGAAGAAGCAAGCAAGAGAAAAAAGAGATCTCTCCTGCCAATTATTAGACAAACATAAGACTTCTGTGGATAGAAAGAAAAAGGGAGAAGGAGAGACAGAAATAGACATAGTAAGTGTGATGGCTCAAAGGGGCAAGAAATGGGAGAATGAAGAAACAGGAAGGGAAAAGAAGACAAATGGGACAGGGAACTGGAGGAGGAGGAAGGAAAGGAAGGTGGCAGATTGAATACTCTTTTACCTTAACTTTAAAAAGAAAAATAGGTGTTCTCAGACAAAGGCAGATGTGAAGAGTTCAGACCACTAAGCAGAGTTGAGCCCTTACTTGGCTGAACACACAAGAACAATCTTTTGAAGTGACAGATATATCTAAATCAAACAAGTTTTATATCCTGGAACTAGGGTAGCCTTCCCAGAATAAGCCCACACTGCTTAGAATGTGATTATCCTTCCGTCACTCTCGTCTTTGCCCTTTACATGTGACCCTTTTTCTGCTTGGGAACTTGGCGCTCTCCTCAGTGCTCAGAGAGGTTCCAATGACATGCCCTATACAGGGGCCTTTCCCTGTCAACCACACAGATCGCCCTCCCCACCATTTCTCAGGAAGGGTTTTAGCCATTACTCTTGTCTGCTTGTCCATATGCCTGTCTCTCTCTATTTTTGTCATCTTTTTTCATGATTTCTATTTTCCATATCTTTGTCTTGATATCTCTTAGAGTTTCTTCAACATTTACTTTAAGATGCTCTATGGAATTAGAAACAACTGCCAGTATAGTTGGAATGTCTAGGGGTGTTCTTTTTTGTTCTATGAAACAGCATCACTATGAACTCCCATTTTATAAGTGAGGAAACTGAGGAACAAAGAGTTTTGGTAACCCACACAGCACCATATAGCTTAGAAAATGATGAAGCTGAGACTTAACATCTGCTGCACACACGCACGCACCAATAGAACAGAGGGCTCCTTACTCCTCTGCGAGAGTGGACAGCATGCACGTGCACACAGGACATTGCTGAATTCTCTTGAGGTTATGATCTAAGGTCTGGAGATCTATCCATATACCCACCTGTCAAGCACTATCTAAGTATGTCTCTATTTAAAGGGTTTTATATGCACCAGTGAATATGCTGGTCCCTGTCTTCCTCTTTAGAAACCTTTTTCATGTCTGTTGATCTTTGGTGTCCTTGTTCTTAGGCCTTCTATAGCTTACTGAAAGCAGTTTGGACATGTACAGGCTTCTGACTGGATGGATGTCCCCATAAAGCATGACACAGGGGCCTGGTCCCCCCCAAGCCCAGCTCCTCTTCTGGACTTCTTTCCTAAACATTTGCACAGAGCATATCCTCTAATATGCCATTTGCATCCTAGATATGGATGCCATGTTCTTCTAAGAGCACCAGGGTATTGAGGAGAGACACTATACACAAACTGTCTTTTATCCTCAATTGCACTCAAGTTACCTTTCTCAGTCTATGTCTTCAGAGAGACCCCACAATGGGGGTGGGGCTGGCCATGTGATCAGCCAGGCCATCAGCTCTGAGTCATGTGACTTATCCAAACTTTGAACCCATTTTCCAGTTGTCACTCTATCTCCTGCAAGTCCTGAAGTTTTCCCAAACTTGGACAGCAAGAAAGATCCTGTTGCTTCTAAAGGCATTTTCCAAGCCTCTTTCTCCTGAAGACTGTATTTTTTATATGCAAAGACAAATTCTGGTCCAGCCCTTTCTCAAATTCTAAAATTTTGTTGTCCTGTTGTTTCCTTTTCTGTATTTTTTAAAGATTTTTTTTTTTTGTACAAAAATACTGACGTTTGGGCTGTATTCCAAAGCTCTGATTTCATTCCAGTTATCACAACAACAACAACTACATAAACACACACACCAAACTCATCCAGGGGACGAGTTTGGGACATATGACATGGACAGCCATGTCATATGCCCTCTCCAAGGTCTAGGTACCATTTAGGAGGACAGTGCAAAAAGCCAGAAGAGATGGATGATTACAGTAAAATTGATTTTTGGACACAACTTGGCAGTCAAACACACGAACTCACAGTGTCTTGCCACGGTGCCCAAGATTGGCACAAGATCAAGCCAGACATGCATAAAATTCTCAAACAATAAAAATAGTTTTAAATTAAAAACAAACAAACAAACAAACCCATGAAACAACCCCAGGGCTTCATGCATATTGTACCACTGAGCTGTATCACCGATCTTTTCTTTTTAGCACTTCGATAGATCTTCCTCAGGAAGTATGTTTTGTCTAGAGTGTGTAAGGTCAGCAAATGATTTCTTTATTTGAATATAATCCTGGAATAAGGGAGCAACCCACGCCAGGATCTTCTCAATCATAGCACTAGGTGATAATTGCCGTGAGATCCTAGAAGGTTAGTTTCGATCCCTAACAAAGTACTGGGTGAGAAGTGTTTGTTTGGTGAATGGATAAATATATGGTACCCAGATTTTTCCCGTGCAGTTTCCAAAACCCTTACTTTTGAAGCAATCCTTTCAAAACGGAGTGTTTCTTGGACTCAAGTTCGAAACAATTCTTTATAGCTTATTCCACAAATCTCTGCATCTGCAGTCCCAGCCTAGCTCACAGTCTAATTTTGTTAGAGGGTAGCAAGGGCATGTAACTACTGTTGTTTGTCTAGAAAGCTGTCAGACTCCATCCCAGCTCTGTGACTAATACAGCAACTCTCCATTACAGAATTAGGGCCACTTTGAACCTCTTGAGGTTTATTGGTTTTGGTTCACGTTCTGCTAATGCTACTTATCACAAAATGCTTGATGAAGTATTTGTTGCTTTTAAAATAAACACTTACAAGCTCTTTCCATGTGCCAGACACTGTTCTAAGTGCTTTAAAAATATTTACCCACTAGAGAACCTAAAAATTCATTGCAGTGTCCAAAAGAGTAATTTCCTTTTCAGAGATGCTGATCAGTTCAGGAAAGGCTGCATCTCAGCTCAAGTTCCTCTGAAGGACCTGTGGTGAGCTGGCCTTGACAAACCAGACAAGCCCCTCTACTGAAAAATATCCAACTCATCCATCCAGTCTAGGGCTACAGCACTACACAAAACACACAAGAATCAAGCTTCTGCATGAGAGTGAAAAACTGAATTTTAAAAAGTGATGTTTTACTCAGTGGCAAGCTCTCTGATTGCCTCCCCTTCAGGGGGGTGCATCCTTGCCAGGCCACAGAGGAAAACAATGCAGCCAGTCCTGATGAGACCTGATAGGCTAGGGTCAGGTAGAAGGGGAGGAGGACTTCCCCTAACAGTGGACTAGGGAAGAGGGATAGGGGGAGAAGAGGGAGGGAGGATGGGATTGGGAGGAGACGTGAGAGGGGGCTACAGTTGGGATGCAAAGTGAATAAATTGTAAAAAATAAAAAGTGATGTTTTAGATGGCATGGTTGTTAATGAGAAAGATCAAGTAAAGAAAAGAGAGGGGAGATGGTGGAAGGTAGAGGGAGGTTTGTAATTGAAAAGAAACACAAGTTCTTGAACACCTCCTCAATAAGAGCCGTTGAGCAAGCGCCTGCAGGAGATTAGAAAGCCATGGGCAACTCCAAGTACAAGGTCCCTGGTCAAAGGGAACACAGAACAAAAAGGCCCAGTGCGGGAGACTAGTGAGCAAATCAGTAAGCAATGGCTGAGCCGAGTTCTGAGGGAGGAAGGAGCCAGCATCTATCAGGCACTGCGTGTGGCCACCAGGAGTTTGGCTTTTAATATGAGCACCATGGGGAGTTATGGAAGTGTTTTCTGTGTAAGAGAAAATGTCATTTGTTTTAAGTAGTAAAAAGATCACCCAAGATTTTGTTGGGGGCAAGAATCAAACAGAGGCCACTTACACTGCTTCTGCTGCAAATAATACAGGTTGATAATGGGGGTGATGAGATGCAGGCAGGCTCTGGGAAAGACCTGAAAGAAGATCCAGCTGGATGTAATGCCTGATATAAAGAGATGAAGCAAGAACGACTTAAGAAGCTGGAAAAATGGGTCAGTGGGGAAGACACTGGATGTACAAGTGTGAGGACCTGATTTCAGCTCCCCAGACCCTATATAAAGCTGGCGTGGTAGCTAAAATGTGGGTCCTCCTACAGCAAGACAGGGAGGGGAGACGGGTGAAGCCTGTCCCTGGAAGTTCAAAGGCTAACTCGCTTGTTGTACAGCACAGCCAACAAGAAGAGACTGTCTCAAATAAGGTGGGAGGTGAGGACTGATACAGACGCTGTCCTCTGACCTCACATGCACAAGATGTAAGCTCACCATATGCATCAACATGCACTCATGCAAACAAAGTTAAAAAAAAGAAACTTCAAGATTTTTGTACCAAATAACTTGAAAATGAAGTTATCATTACTTGGTATGAAAAAGCCGTTTTGGGAGGAAGATCAAGTGAGAAGTTTTGGAAACATTAAGAGCCATCTTATCCATGGCTGAGGCAAATATCTGTGTTTTTGAGTCTCAAGTTTGTGGGAGGTGTGTAGGTTAAACGTATAAAGTAAGAACTTCTCAATATGTACCTAGCGTATCAAATCGTGCTGCTGCTTAAGCTTGCAAGACACTAAGTAGATACAAACTAAGTAGATTCAGCCCTGGGACTGAAGACATTCGGAGGTTTGACGATGAAGAGAAGAGCGATGAGAAGAAATAGCCAGGGAGATGAGAAACTAGAACATGGAGTTGTGAAACCAAGAGGAGGAAGCAGGTCAAGGTCTCAAGTCTGGCTGTCAAATGCTGCAGGGGGTCATGTCCAGTAGGGCTGAGAAATGTTCCCCTAGAAATGGCATCACATTGCTCACTGCTGACTTGGAAAAAGAAGATGTTG